CGGGGGAGAGCCCGGCCCCGGGGGCTGCACCACACCCTCTTACCGGTGAATCTCGGGGGGGTCCCTCTTGATCTTGGCGCTGGACTCCATCACCTCCTTTGCCACGCGGCCGCTGCGGTGGTTCAAGAAGAGCAGCCGTGAGGAGGTGAGCCTGGCACAGGGGAGCCCCGCGGCACACCGTGCCCTGCGGCCTGGCCCCTCCCCACGCACAGGGGGCTGTGCCAGGGGCTCTCCCCATGGCAACAGTGCAAAACAGGAATATTTGCTGCCAATAGGGGTGATGGGAAGAGCAGGCAAGGCTGGGCTGACACCTCTGCCACCTGCTTCTCCTGGCCTGAGATGCTGGACGCCATGGGGTCACCTCCCCTTGGGGTGGGACATGCCATGGGCACCCAGGGTCCCCCATGCCAGCCAGGAGGGTGCTGGCATTGTGCACCTTGCAGCTGGGGATGTGCTGGGGTCTCATGTCCTGCAGAGATCAGGGAACCACAGAACCATTTAGGTTGGGAAAGACCTTTAAGATCATCGAGTCCAACCATAAGAAGTCAGGAGGTGTCAGGTCCAGGCTCTTGCTCCAGGGCCAGGGAGTAGCAACATTCCCCAGGAATTTAGGAATTGTGGTGATTCCTTTCACTTCTTGTTGGAGTGAAAAAACCGACCCCAAAGCCCTGTCCTGTCCCTTCCCCTCCACTCCAAAAATCTGCAGTTTTGGGGCTGGGGAGAGGGAGGTCAGCTGGGACACAGAAGTGGCGATGGCCTCGCTGAGGAAGCAGCAGCTCTGGCACCAGGGGGACCCTTAGGGAGTCCTCGGGCCACCGCAGCCCTGAGGACTGAGGACAGCCCCGAGGACACCCAAAGGAGCACCCGAAAACATCTCCAGTAGCTGCTACTCACTGTCCTGATTTACCTGTATCGGAACCGGCTGCCCTTGAAGAACAAGTTGCTGCTGGACACCGTCCGGACCTGGCTCGACTTCTCCAGCCTGCAATGGCACCAAGAGCTGTGTGAGCACCCCCTGCCACCAGCTGGGCACCCGGGCAGGGTGGGGCCTGGCACAGCTCTGCAGCAAAGCCCCCGCCCGGCCCCAGGGAGCCCTGGGGGTGTGAAACACCACCCGGAACAAAGGCAGCCTCTGGCAGCAGGGGGGCTGGCACTGCCTGCTGGGACACGAGCATCACCCACCAGCACAGCACGTCCCTGCCCAGCCCATGCCCAGGCTCCAGGGTGGACCCATTGCCAAGGGCTTCACCAGTAGCTGGAGGGGATTCTGGGGTTCACACCAGGGTCCTTGGGCCACCAGTGAGCAACCACACTGCATGGGGCTGTCCTCCTCCCCCTCTACTCTGCCCTAGTGAGGCCACCTCTGGAGTATTTGGTCCAGTTCTGGGCTCCTCAGTTCAAGAGAGACAAGGAGCTACTGGAGAGAGTCCTGAGGAGGCTCCAAAGCTGCTGAGGGGCTGCAGCATCTATTTGCCAGGCCACGGTGCAGCTGCAGAAGAGAAGCCTCAGAAGGGATCTGATCAGTGCTGAGCAAGAGCTAAAGGGCCCCGGGGGGCAAGAGGCTGGGGCCAGACTCTGGTCAGTGGTGCCAGTGACAGGACAAGGGGCAACGGGCACCAACTGGAACCCAGGAGGTGCCACCTGAGCAGGAGGAGAAACTTCTTTGGTGTGAGGGTGGCCGAGCCTGGAGCAGCTGCCCAGAGAGGCTGTGGAGTCTCCTGCTCTGGAGAGATCCCAAACCCACCTGGCTGTGACCCTGGGCACCCTGCTGTGGGTGACCTGCTGGAGCAGGGGGTTGGATGAGATGATCTCCAGAGGTCCTTCCAGCCCCACCATGCTGGGATTCTGGGATTCTGTGCTCACCAGGGGGCTAAAGCCCCTCACTGCCACCACCTCTGCATTGCAGGGGTGCAGGAATTGGCTCGTCCCAGGCAGTGGAAAACCACCAAGAGGGACTGTCCCTGTGTCCTTCTCATCCCATGGGCCCTGGTCGTTCTCCCTCCCAGCAGCACCTCAGCCCAGCCCATGGTCCACTCCACCGGTCGCATCATCCAGCAGTAATTTACTGACATGATTAATCATGAAAAGATTTGTAAAGCAATATTGCAATTTCATTTCATGTTAATATAATGAGAAATGAAACCTGCTGATTGCAGCTGCTGATTGCAGTATTCCCACAGAGAATACATCACACGCTGGATCTCGCATCTTGCTGATTAAAATAAAACTCATTACAGAGCATAAAAAAGGCTATTTTTAAGTACAACATGAGCAGGATGGTGACACCAAACTGTTCCACCAGCACCTCCCTGGTGTTTTGGCAGATGGTCCAGCCCGTGACCTCTCCCTTTCTGTTTGACAGCCCAATTAACCAAAGCAGGGGCAGAAAAGCTGCCTTGGCAGCCAGGATTCAGGGAGCCCAGAGCTCCTGGGGAAGGGAGACCTGCCCCTGAGACCTTCAGCCCAGAGGTCCCCAGCACAGGGCAGCAGGTGGGGACAGTCCCCTGAGCCACTGTCCCAGCTGCCCCAGCTCATGGCTGCAGCCCAGGCTGCACATCCCCTTGGATGCCTCCCATGAATAATTAACTCCTTCCCAAAGAGCCCAGAAGCAGATTATTTCTGAGAGTTTTTGAGCCTTCCCCATTAAAAAGCAGGATTTCCAAGGCACCCCGGGGCACTGGCTCCACTTCAGTGGGGATTTTCATGCAGGATTCAGCACAAACAGACCCTGTGAAGCCATTCTGAAAATCCACCCTCGAATATTAGGTCAGAAGATGTTCCCTGGGTTTTGCTGGTGTCCATCCCTGCTGCACCCCACACCGACCACACTGCCAGAGCATCCCCAGGCACAGAAGGAGCTGCCATCCACCAGAGCACTGAGGCACATCTGCTCTTGCCAGCCTGTGCTGGCTGCCCAGCATTCAAGGCTTAATCTCCAGAAATTCAGTTTAATGCCCCAGTTCAAGGTTTGCTGCAGAAGGATGAGTGCAGAGGGGTGGGACAGGGCAGATCTCATGGGGCAGAGCCCCCAGCCCGGGAGCACCAGCTGTTTTTGGGGGCCACCAGGACAGGGGTGCCACATGGCCAGTGCCAGCCAGTGCCCAAGCCTGCATGGAGCCCTCGGGCGGGTGCTGTGCGAGGTGGCACCGGCCCCCGGGGAGATGCCAGGCACAGCACCACGCTCACCTGGGCACCCAGCACTTACTTGTAGAAGGCCTGGTTCTCAATCCCACACTTCCAGAGGTGTTTGCAGGCTTCTGGCGTCGGGGCAAAGTACGTGAGAACAATTTTCTTTTCCTAAAGGAGAAGGACAAGGAGTTGGTGGGGGAGGAGTGAGAGGTGCCAGGAGTGAGTGGTGAGGGGCGGCCAGAGCAGCTGGAGCTGGAAAGCAGCCTGACTTGGGGCAGATCCTGCTCCAGTGCTGTGCAGGACATGGGGCAGATCCTGCTCCAGAGCCATGCAGGACACGGGGCAGATCCTGCTCTAGATCTGTGCAGGACACGGGGCAGATCCTGCTCGAGAGCCATGCAGGACATGGGGCAGATCCTGCTCTAGAGCTGTGCAGGACATGGGGCAGATCCTGCTCCAGAGCCATGCAGGACATGGGGCAGATCCTGCTCCAGAGCTGTGCACGACATGGGGCAGATCCTGCTCCAGAGCCATGCAGGACATGGGGCAGATCCTGCG